GGAAACTAGAGAAAATGAAATAAAGCAATAAAATGACAAATAATTAAAGGAAAAATAAGAGAAAACAGTAAATGAATAAAATTTGATAAAAAAATGGAAACAGTAGAGAAAGATTTGAACACGTAGAAAAACAAATAATTGTCTTTTCGACGAAACTAAAAAAATCAGATTTGAGTAAGTAAAAAATTGTAGAAAAATTGAAAAAAAAAACATTGAGGAAGTAAAAGTACTTTGAGAGAAAACTGGCCGGTGAAGATAAAATAAAGTAAAAAAAATGACAAATAATTAAATGAAAAGAGAAAACAGTAAAAAATTAGTAAAACTTGATAAAAAATTAAAAATAGTAGAGAAATTGAGGTAAACTATCAAGTTTTGAACATGGAGAAAAAAAAATTAGCTTTTGAGGCGGAACTAAAAGAAATGAGATTTGTGAAGGTAGAATCAGAAAAAAATTCTTTATGAAAATAATCTTAAAAAAAAACTTTTTTTCCTATCAGTAATCTATTAATAACAGAAGCAAAATTGTGAAATTTATCCAAAAAAAGAGGTTTAAGTAGGTAGAATCAGATACAAGAAAACCAAAGAAAAACAATGTAATTTTACGTTACTTTAATTTACTTATCTATTTATTCAAACAGTTCTAAGATAACCAAAATTGTAAAATTTGTTTTTTTTAAATAATAATTTGCCAGACTTTTAAAAATAAGACAAAAAAATTTGAAGGCTGTATAATCAGTAAAATTAATAATATGATAATATAAACACAATAATTTGTGAAGCTGAAAATTTGAAAGGAAAGTTAACATTTCATGAAATTAAGACACAAAAATTATTAAAAAAACAGTTCTTTTCAGATTTTTCCACTAACTAAAAAATCTCCGTTTATTTATTTTTACTAACTTTCAATTTTGGATTCCAGTTCCGAGCGAAATGTCCATTTTAATAAAAGAACACTTCAACCGGTGGTACTCCCTGAAAATGTATTACACTTCAGTCACCCTAGTGGACATCCCCGTTTCGGTAATCAACCAAAAACCTGAAAAATCGCCATAAAAACCACCCTTTTCAGATCGTATGTTGCGCCCTATTTTCGGTAATAATCTACTTCATGACAGGCCAACCCTTCGACAAACAACGCTTTTGGATGTTTTTCGTCATAAGCATGCTTGTGGTTTTCGTGGCGCAAAGTTTCGGTTTAATGATCGGCGCCGTCTTCGGAGTTGTCGTAAGTACTCAAAAACTTGACTAGGAAACCAGGAGTAAGAAAAATTTCCAGAACGGCACTTTTTTGGGCCCCACTCTCTCCGTTCCAATGATGATGTTCGCCGGTTTTGGGGTCACACTTCGAGACCTCCCCAGCTACCTCTACTGGGGGAGCTACATTTCCTATCTGAGATACGGACTCGAAGGGATCGTGGGGGCTATTTATGGGCTTGAAAGACAGACGATTTTTTGCCCCGATGATGCCTATTGTCATTACAAATACCCGAAAAAACTCCTCGAGGATATTGCCATGAAGGGGGACCAGTTTGGGAACGATGTAATTGCGTTGGTTCTCATTTTGTTCTTTTTGAGAATCGTTGCTTATGTTCTCTTGAGATACAAATTAATGGCAGTTCGTTGATTTAGTCTTAAGTTATTTATTTGGCTGTGTTATTTTATTTTTATATTTATTAAATGTGTGTTGAATTAAAATAAATATTGTTTTTAACATTGTATTTATTACAACCATTGTTTTGTAACGTTTTCTCTACTATTTTCTACCTCCTCAAATT